CCGGAAAAACGTCAGTGTTGCTCAACATTTTTATGCCAAGTCAATGGTGAATAAGATCGCAAATATCGGCGAAACTAGTTAATGAATTCGCCATACGTGAAAGCTAAAAACACATAAGCCATAATTTTGCTGTCTTCAGGTCAGGTTAAGCAAAGTAAACTTCAGTTTATGCCAGATTATAGAGTTTACACGGTCCAAGACTGGAAGGGGAACTTAGGTACGCCCGTAAAGTTAGTAAGCCACAAAGTCCACTGACGTGATTAAGATCACATCGCTTCCATTCATTTGTCAGTGATACTCCAGGGCCATCCGACACTTCTTGGTGGTATACCACGACCTTGACCTCAGCTGAATTGGAATTTAGGATTGAAACCACGTTTTCAAAGCACAGCCACGAGCTACGCCGCTTGTAAACCTCACAGTGTAAACACAGTTATCCTACCAGTTCATCCTTTTTTATTATGATGCGACTTACGCCATCGGAAAATGTGACAAATTGATGAAAATAAACAGTTTCAGCTCCCCGTACATGGTGATAGCGCTGATTGTGTTGTGCCCTGGAAAACTGACGAACGCTTCTATGGTTTCGGAAACAACGCAGTGAAAAAGCTACGTTGTCGCTTGGGCTAGCTGTAACTTCATCTCACATGAACTGTGTATTAAATGACCTTAGCGTGCAGCATTAAATTGTTTGGGTAAGAATGTGATGTCAGGACCGTGCGGGCAAATCTTAAGTCATTTGCAATACCTGGCCCCAAGTAGTCTTGCCCTTAAAAAACGAACGAAAGGGGTCCTTCACTTTTTTCAGGAAAGAGTGCTGAATGTTTTCTAAGAAGGTGCTGACATTTTGACCAGCTGAGTTTGCGTCATTCTTCAACATGTTGCGAGGATTGCAAACTTCTAATCTTAACTTTCACGATCTACAACCTCTTTTTCCACTTGTACCGTTGTTATTTACTCAAAATTGACAACTCACGCCCATTTCTCGCAGAAAATGCACTTGAAAGAGGTTCCTAGTGCTCAATTAAACGTCATCACTCAAGTGCATTACTGTCGTCCTGACCACTTGAGTAGCTCAGATCAATCAAGGTCAAGACAAGTCAGACTTTTGGCCATTGTGATCTTATTCGACATTCTGAAGGTCATGTGATGTACGATGTCATAGATATCTTGAGACAGCTCTGGAAAGCCTTTCTAACACTGATTTATCCACTGACGCGACTTGTTTAGTTCTTGATGCAACGGGGGGGGGGGGGGGGGGGGGGGCAACACAGCAGTAGCAAGAGCTGTTCGACGCCGTTTCCGAAGGGTCGTAGCTTGTTTGGTCCTTGAGATATCGGAAGGGTCCATAAAAGGAATCATTTGACCCCTATGAAGTGATTCGGCCTGCCAAAGGTCGCATCCATCACCATCGTTAAGTTATCCTTGTCTGGCGCATTTGACGATAGCTGCCGAACGTCATGTTCCCTGTGACTCTTGTTCGGTTCCTGAGATCTCGGCAGTGGGGGAGGGGGGGGGGGGGGCGGAGGGGCTCCGGGAATCCCCTCGGGCGGGCGACGACGAAAAGCGGCATTAGGACGAGGGTTAACGAATCTATTGTATTCCTCGAAGGGAGTGCCCCACATTTGCATGGGGATTTTAACTGAAATTGTCGTCTTGAAGATCATTTAGCGCAATTCACAGTCCTTTCCTTCCTAAGACCCAAATCCCTCTAGTTTCTCGGCTACGCGCCCACGACGGTGGGCGGGCTGTTTTGATGAGACCTTCGAGGTCACTCGGGTATCTATGACGCTAAAATAACGTTATTCAATTATTGCCGTTCCAATGCTTATGTGGTGATCAAGACCAATCCGAATATAATCATATAGTCGTTCATGTCTGACGTTCGTGCGCATGATTTCCATGTATAACGGCCGTCAGTTCGTTCGTAATCAATGCTGTGCTAGGTACAATGACGTAATAAAGGATGATGTGTTGAACATATTTACTAAACAGAGAAATGGTGTCTAGGGCAGTCTTTTCCACTGGAAACATGCCAATAGTTATAGGGGTCTTATTTCATCATATCCGATGCTAATTTCAATGTCTTCAAATGTGGCATATTCCCTTTAAGCTGCGTCACGCCCTAACATGCGTAAGAGCATGATTTGGGCTTCGTGACCTAACATGATAAGGCGAACTTTCGAGCCAGATGTGAATGATTCCAAACTCCGGCAGTCCAGATTTCGTTGTGGTGTATAAGTTGGCTCGGAAAAGCCTTTGACAAACAATAACAAGCGAAACAGATGCTTGCTCAGCCTTTTGCGCTGTCGCGGGTTACCGCAGCACGTGCTCTCCACTTTCAACGTTTCTTACAGCTCACCAAGCTACTCACCGGCTTAAAATGTCCCGCCATACGGCGCAGGTAACGCTTACGACTTCCTGGGTCTGGGACCGCGTCCCGTGAAGTCCACGTGTGAATGATGTGAATAAACACACACACACACACACACACACCGGCTCATCGCCCGAATAAGCAAACACGCCGCAGATGTGGGCCAGCACAGAAATGTCAACAAACGGGCCGCCATCACTTCTGAACGCCTCATCAACGGTGTCTTGATGGGGCGTTGATCATCACATCTGCGTTGATGTTGTTATTCCTTACAATGCAACTGACAAAGCTCGAGCTGCCAAGCGTTCGCAGACCTGACTTCTAAGTGGTGAAGGGGCGTTGTCGCAATATCCTTGGTGGCATTCGACAGTTAACTAACCTCTGCAGAGAGCGTTGACTAGTCAAATTACTCCACGAAAACGCATGGTCATAACGTTAAAATCCGAGAAAATGAAATGCGACAGGTTTTACGTTTTCAGCTGCAATGTAACTGATTTATCAGGCTCTTTTTAAGAACATTTGTATCGCGCGGCATGTTAAATGCAAGGGTTGAGCCGCCCAGCACTGCATACTATCAGTCCAGCGGCACATTAGTTCGTAACGTACTTTGCCGCGCTTGGCTGTCTATATAGCGTAAATACATGATGCTCCTGATATAATTCGGTGCAGTGTGTGCTGGTGCATGCGGGCAGAGCACTTAACATTACAAAACTGCTCAGACACCATTAATGCTGCGCTAACGAAGCTGCAAATGCACATCTATATCCAGAAATCCGGCTCCGTTCTTCTGTATTGCCAATATGACCCGATCTGACACGAGTGAGGGTGTCAGTGATCCGTTCCGCGCTAACTGCCCGAACCTAAGAGTTCGTGCCACCCAACGACTGGTCGGAGAGACAACGCAATCCCACGTTCACTACAGACAGACCATGTCGTAGACTCGCCGTATGTCTTTAACAACCGCGCACGTCCGCTGGAGAGCGCGCGTGCAAAAACGCTCATCGCTCAGTTCACGTTGTTGCAAGTCTTTGAAAGTTGTTGGTCTATGGAGGGTCTTTGGCATGATTGCAGACGCTGAGACAAGAACACAGACGATCGAAGGCGTACCAGTGATCATCGGGGAAAAACTTTTGACACGTATATGGCTTGAGGTCAAAGACTTGTTGAACATTTGGACTTGTTCCAAATGTCTAAAATCCGATCAATGGCGTACACGTCATTTTTGTTCTTAGCACTTCGAAGTTTTGTCAATCGAAGCGTGCTGGTTGCTTGGCTCACATCCCTCGCCGCGACAGAGGGGAGTGGATGTTTCTCAGTCTTATCGTCGCAAATCATCGCCGCGTGGAAACACGTGTAGTGATGGGAATAGGTCACTGCTCTTCTCTGCAAGTTGACTAATTATAGTGCTCCACAGCGGTTTGCTGTGAATGTATGCCATTAAACTTCCCCATCCTTACATCTGTGAGGGCACGACGGATGAAAATCGTTCCTTGGACGACTGAAGATCTCGTTGTTTCAGCTGCATCGAGAGGTTGTTACAAACATCGCTTCAATCACAGCACAGTTGTCCGCACACATCAAGAATGGGCCACGGAATCACTCCCTTCCCTCTCCACCAACGCGGTTCATTTTCATCTAGGCTTTGACATATACAGGCAGAACGTCCACGCAAGCATCTGAACCGTATCCGAGACCACGCCACTCGGGGATCACCACCCAGTCTCGGCTCCTGACAGAGCGGCTCCGACCCAGCGCCAGACCCTGCCGCCGCCGAGCGCGCGCGCCGGCTCACCTCCAGGTCGTCCCGGGGTCCGCCAAACACTTGCAGCCGGTTTCCGGACGCCATGGCGGCGCTGAGGGCAGCACGCGTCTCTCACGGGGACAGGACGGCAGCGCGACACGCCGGCGACTGCGGCGACCGGCCGCGGACGGAGGACGTCGGGCTATTTCGGGCGGCGGCCGAGGCACCCGTCGCCGCCCGCGTCCCCGTGCCAGGGCCCGCCGGAGCGTCCAGCGCCGCGCGCGCCGGCGGGGGCGGCGAGGGGCGCGGCGCGGCGCGGCGGGGGCGGCGAGGGGGCGCGACACGGCGCGGCGGGGGCGTAGACGGAGCAGTGGCTTCTGAAGGGGGCGGGGGAGTGTTCGGGCGCGCGAGACGATAGAGGTGTGTGGGTTGAGGAGAGGGGGGGGGGAGAACTAAATGGATGTCAGGGTGCGGACGGCACCACAGGGCACCGTAGGGCACTACAGTGGTGCCCGTGAGCATGTGGGTGTGGGTGGTGCCCGTGTGTGTGTGTGTGTAGAGACGGGGGAGACTACGGAGGTGTTGGGTGAAACGGAACCTGGCAGTTTCATGATCGGCGACTGGAGAGCACACCCCAACATTGACGACTATCTTGCGAGGGCAAACACAAGGCCCGGCTATCAAGGCTCCGTCAGGCCTCACATCAGTCCCTACTGACCGCCGCTGCCGGCCGGGGCACCCGGCTGGCCGTCGCTGCCTGCCGGGGCGGCGCAAAGACACCCTCAGGCCGCACCGGGGTAACAATCCCCATCCCGAGCAATGAGACTTCAGTTCTCCAGTCATCGCGAAGCGCAGTCGTCACAGCAGCGATGGAAAGCCGCCACATCGCACAGTGACAGCTCCGACCCATCCCGGGCGGAAGCGTCCTGTATTCAACAGCATACCGATCACATACCAAAACATTGGTAACAATGCCTCGTACCGCCACAGCCAGACGGCCTTCGGTCCACCGAGCCGTGGGTCCCGCAGCCGCCACCCTCACTCCCAATACTTCTTCAGCTTGATCTTGGGAAACACGTTCATGGACTGCAGCTCCTGGAAGAGCAGCTTGCAGGCGTACGGGATGCGGATGGATGAGACGGCGCCGCTCGACTGGCAGAAGTGACACCTGGCGGATGCGTCGCGAACCTCAGACCGCACTCCGAACACGCATTACATTGCGAACAGGAACAGCGTCCATAGATTAACAGGACACGGAAGGAACAGCACGTCGACGTACCTGCATTAAAACAAGCGGATGCGTCCACTTTCTGCGAAAACTCCTAACGTCAATAATGTCTGCGATCCAGGCGATGACAGTGGGATCACGATACGATGGTAGCGAACGATGAAAAGATAATAACGTTAACGACGACGAAATAAGTGAATGAATTTGGTTTCTCACGTAATTGAGGAAGGACGAGGTGGGAGCGACACCTATAGTGATGCATGACGCCAGAGCGTTATAGCTACAACTTAGCGCCAGGGTACACCCTCCTTAGATCTTAGTACGCATGCCGGTAAAAGAGAACGGAAGAGATTGTTTGGGTTGTGGGCTGGGTAAGGCTTTACAGAAAATTCGTTTGTGCTCATATTATTGCGATGCCCATATCACCTGGCCCATCAATTAAGAACGCAGAAGCCACACGGTTTTAGCCCAGCCTATTCCCACCACCACTGACCACCCTTAGCGCCCCAGCCTGCCCCCCCCCCCCACACTGACCACCCTTTGCCCCCAGGCTGGGGTGGTCCCCACCACCACTGGCCATTCTTAGCACCCCAGTCTGTTCCCACCGCCACCACTGACCATCCCGAGTAGCCCAGCGCGCCGCATGTGTTGCACACGTCCACGGAGAAGGCGTCCGAGGAGATCATCAGCCGCTCCAGCAGCAGCATGGAGGCGCCGTACGCCACCAGACAGTCGCGCTCCATCTCGCCCAGCCGGAGGCCGCCCTCGCGCGAGCGGCCCTCCGTCGGCTGGCGCGTCAGCACGGCACGGGGCCCGCGGGCGCGAGCGTGCATCTTGTCCAGCACCATGTGCTTCAGCTTCTGGTAGTAGATCTGGCGCAGGACACGGCGGAGATAGTTAGCCTCCGGGAGTTACCGACGCAGAGGCGGCAATTTTGTGAGTCAAAGCGTAAGAGATCAAGAGCGCCGATCTTTATCATGAGGAAAGCGCAGTGTGCGTGTCAGCCGGCCTTCCTGACGACTCACCAGCTGACGTCACCCCCTACCGCCAGGAGATCGCGCTCTGATCTCTAGTAACAGGACAAGACGCTAGGACCTCTAGTAACAAGACACTCGCAAAGCCCAAAAACGGCCATTAAGACCCTGCCTATAATAAGATATGAACAGGTTCTGATCAGGGGCTTTTCGGTAACGTTTCCTCCTTACTCTTCTTTCGAAGATATTATGAGCCATGTGTGGCCCCTTTCTCAAGACCCGCCAAAATCAGTACTTATAAAGAAGCGACCAAATGACACGTGCGCTTAGTGGTCAAAGTGTGCATGCGGAGTACATATAATTTCATCCAAACGGACTCCATAATTACAACTCACTACATAACAAACACTGTAGATCACCCAAATACACACCGCTACACCCATACACACACCCACATACAAGAATACCGCCGGCGCAACAGACCAGATTACTTTGACGAGCAACAAGAGCTGACAACCAGAGCAAGGAGTGTCATAACTGATCAAGCATCATTTGATCAAGCCAAAGCTGTCAACGGCCGGCCAGACGCACACCAATCCTGCCGATCGGCTGGCCACGGCCCAGCGCCGCTCCGACAGGGACCAGCCACCGGCCGGCGTCCGCCGCGCGCCGGCCGGCACGGCTGGCCACCGCGCCACTCACCGGCCCGAAGTAGATGTAGCCGGTGAGCGTCTCGCCGGTGATTCCCGACGTCATCACCTGCTTGCCCTGGTAGTTGTAGCCAAAGCGGACCAGCGTCTCGCTCACGTCGCGCACCTTCGAGCCGCCGAACGCTGCCGGGGCGGGCGGCACATGCGATTGTCAGGCGGCGGCGGCGTCCCAGCGGCAGCGCGTCAGGCGGCCGGAGGAGAGGGGGGGGGGGGGGGGGGGGGGCTCCAATGCTGCCGGGGCGGGCGGCACACGCGACTGTCAGGCGGCGGCGGCGTCCCAGTGGCAGCGCGTCAGGCGGCCGGAGGAGAGGGGGGGGGGGGGGGGGCTCCACCGCTGCCGACGCCGGCAGGGGGTAAACTCTACTCTTAACCGGCGCCAATGGAACGCTTCGTTCCGGCGCTCTCACGAGAAATGTGCTGTGCGTGACTGAGTGACAACAAGTGACTGACAAACGCCAGTCAGCGGCGAGTTACAGAGGCCTGAAGCTGATGGCGGCTGAGGAAGATGCGACCAAGTCACGACAACCTTACCGCATCATAAGAAAAGACGCGCGACCGCCACAGCTACGCAGACCGGCACACCGAACATCCGAACATGACGCGCCTGCTCTCTTCGCCCCCCCCCCCCGCACATCAGCTGGGGCCCTCCAGACGCGCGATGATGTGCCGGGGGGGAGGGGGGGGGGCTGATGTGTCGTGACTTTCCAGCGTCCAGCGCCACTCTCTCTCTCTCTCTCTGCCACCAGCCAGCATATCAGCGGGGCCCTTCGGACGCGCGCCCAGCGCCACACTTTCTCCGGCAACAGCCGGCTCATCAGCAGGAGGCCTCCAGACGCGCGCCCGGCACCGAACTCTCACCGGTGCCGTAGTGCAGTTTGCCCTCCATGAGGCCGGCCTTGCCGGCCAGCAGCTCCATCAGCTTGCCGACCGTCATGCGGGACGGGTAGCCGTGCGGGTTCATCACCATGTCGGGGCAGATGCCCTGGTCCGTGAACGGCATGTCCTCCTGGTCCACGATCAAACCTGGTGGCCCCGAGCGCACGCCGCGATCAGGCGGGCCGCGTCGCTCCCGCACCACGTGGCGAGGCTGGCTCGGGCAGGCGCCGGGAGGGTCGGCCAGTGGCGAACGGTGTCATGAGGTGGCTAGTCGCACAGCCACGCTGTTGTCAGTGATTTGGTGATTCGGTACGGTTCAGTGGTTCATACAGTAATAAGGACGCACTGCAATCCCTGAGTGAACCCAACACGGCAACCAACCCACCAGTCAAACAAACAGCGACGTATGCGATCAGCATCCAACTAACAACTAATCAGCACCAGGAGCACCTCCATTCATCCGCCCGGCCGCGCCCACCCCAGGAGCCTGACCGGGGCAGCCACCGCCGAGCACAGGACCGCAGGGCCACGCGGCCTGCCTGCCGAGCGATGGGGAGTGGGGTACGCCTCACCAGTGACGCCCTTCTGTCCGTGACGGCTGCTGAACTTGTCGCCCAGCTCGGGCCGGCGCGTCTGGCGCAGCAGCAGCTTGATGAGGAACGCCTCCTCGGCGTTGGACGAGATCATCACCTTCTCGATGTGCGACGGCACAGGGCCCTTGTACCTGTCGGACCGAGCGGCCACGTCTGAGTCGCCCGACAATGCAGGCGGCTGGCAGAGGCAGGCTGCGTCCACCCAGGGACACGTGCGCAGCGCATCTGACGACCTGCCGCGGTCCGTCATCGGCCCACGCGAACTGGTTCTCACAGCTTAATAACCAACGTAGGACAACCAACGCACGTGGCACTCCACACTTCACTGTCAATTTTCGCGATCACCATATTGTTCCGTGCCGGAGCATAACGTGTTGCGTTCGTCTTCGATTACCCTCGCGTTATGTTGCAAAAGTTACTGAGCGCTGCTCGGCTAAAAACCATTGCGGGCGGCAGTTTTTATGCAGCTTTTGCAGTTTTGGGCGGCATTTTACAAGTGATCGCATAATTCCTTCCCCGTCCATATAGAGCAAGTCAAGTGGGAAAAGTACATCAAACCAAGATTGTTCAGGGAACAAAATAAGAGGTACGCTTACATGTGCTCGGGTGGGGAGGCGGGCCAATTTGCTCCCTCCTCCCATCCTGTTGGTTCTTTCCGACATGACTTCTGAGCGCGCTAAACTTTGCACAACTGTGGGTCATTGAACAGCCAACCTTTCCGTACCACGCATTAAATGTACCTCATAAGGTCGCTGACCTATGGCAGGCCAGTCAGGCCATGGCTGTCGGCGAAGGCAATTCCTGGGAATCGTTCAATCTGATTCGACAACGTAGTTTAGACGAAATCACACAACTTCGGGGTGGTCTCTTAGGCAATCAGATGATTGAAATTATGATTATGTCGAATCATATTGACCTTGGGTGAGGTATGAGGTCGGATCAAGGTCAAAACCAAACCTATTTAGTACTGCAAGATTTTGATGTGCGGTACTTTTTGACGTTCATTTTTGATTCATGGATCAGACCGACGTAAAAATCTCTATTTTGACTTCATGGAGGTCAGCTGGTGTCACTGACCTAAAACGACCTCGATTAATATTTCGCTTTGAGGAGCATACCACTTGGGGTAGTGCCTGGCGCAGATTTAAACTGATACCTAAATGATTAAGTATAACCCAAATGTATGTTAAATCAATCTCGACGTTTTGGCTGTTTTGGTTTAAAAATGCCCAAATAAGGTCATTGACCTGATACGACCACCAGTCACATTTTGCTTGGAAGTGGTATCTATGTAAAAGGTGGTTGCGTGTAGAGGTCTCAAGGCATCTCGGACGCCGATCTGGACTTTGACCTTGTTTGACTTTATTTGACCCGAAGACCACGAGTGAGAAAACTCAAAATTTTAAAGGGAGCGTTTCGCACCTGAAGATATTGAAGCAAGCATCAGATATGAGAAAAAACTCCCTTATAACTGGTAGTCTACATTTAAGTAGAAAGGGCTGTGCTCTCGACACCATTTCTCTGTTTAGTAAAAATGTCCCTTGATAAGTCATTGCTTGATTACGTCATCGTATCTTGCGCAACTGATTGCGAGCCAACTGACGGCCGTTACATCTGCTAATCGTGTTCACGAACGTCAAATGTACACGACTCGACCATCATATTTTCCTTGGCCTTGATCGCCGCATGGCTTATGGAGCGGAAGGACTTGAATGACGTTGTTATAACGACATGAATGCTACGGCGACTCTGGAATACTTTTCCCATGTTTGCGGGCATGCAGCTCAAAAACTAAAGGGGTTTAGGTCTTAAGGAGAGTTGTAAGCTCCACCGAAAGGTCTTCAGGACGGCTATTTCCGTTCAAAACCCCGAATAAATGTGGAACACCCCCTTTAAACACAAATTAGTCCACATAGAACCCTACCTACCCAGTAAATGTGGTGTATGTATTTGGTGTACAGGTGTAGATTTTAGTTTTTGACAGCTCTATGGGCATCAAATTGATCCCACCGCCTGAGCACGGCGCATTTGACCGGCCACTTGGACGCGTGTGAAGAGTTCAGTGACTCGGCCTTTCTGCCTTAAGATTTCCATGCCCTGAAGGCGTTTATCTCCAACCCTGTTCCTTCATCATTCCCTGGCCGAAAGCCTCCTCTATGCATTGCACAGTGTCATGCAGAATGTCCGTCAGCTGTTGGTGCGTGGGTGTGGGCGGCGCGCGGGGGACACTCACGTGACAGGCACGTCCCTGTACTCGGGCGGCTGGCGCGGCGCCCCGGCCGGCGCGTTCAGCGGGTTCATTGTCACCGTCGGCATCGACTTGTTCACCAGCACCTGCTTGTTCTCCACGATCTGGCGGCGGCGGGGGCGCATGGCTCAGTCCAGCAGGCGAGATGGATGCGGGGCAGCCGGCCGCCGCGGTCGCAGAACAGCGCACCCATCGCACAACCTTGGAGCAGTACTACGACTCAGACGTGACCACCATGACTGGGGATGACTACGACTATGACTGGGGATGACAAAGCGGAGCGAGCCAGGTGCCCGTCGATGCAGCCTCGCTCGCTTCACGCCACAGTGCGATACTCCGCGGTCGACACACAGAAAACCGCTTCACCACGCGAACATGCAGGTGGTCCCCGCACTGCGCGTCCGTTTGCGCCGCGTGCGGCCGGTGCGGCCGCGCGGGTACGTTCGTACCTCGCCCGGCGCGGTGATGCCGTCGGCGTCGAGCGCCTTGTGCCGCCAGATGGGCTCCCTGGTCTCGGCGTCCACCAGCGGACCCTGCACGCGGTCGTGCGTCTGGTTGGCGTACCTGCCGGGGGGCCCCAGAGCGGTCAAACTTCCCGCTAGCCTGACGTCTCGCGCCGGGCGCGAGCTCGTGTTGCGGCAGCTCCACAGGCCCATGGTAACGTGAGCCGCGGGTCTCGTTTGAATTCCTGTCTTAGTTCGCCAGGCCAGAGTCATACTACGACAGGCAGCAGCAGGCAGCAGAATCTTAGGCAGCATAATATTAAGGGCCAGCAGCCACACGCGCGCTGACGTGTTCGGACGTCGCACGCTCGGCTCGCGGGGAACTCACCTCTTCAGGGTGCATTTGGAGTTCCTGTAGACGAGGCAGCGGCCGTAGCCGCGGTCCAGGGACGCCTTGTTCAGGATGAGCGCGTCCTCGATGTCGTAACTGGGGACGCGCCGGCCACAGTGTGGGTAGCAGGCGCGGCGGGGCGACGGGAAATCCCGCCCTCACCGCGGCCGCACCGCTGATGTAAGCGCTCATGCCACACAGGTGAGCGCGACCGTTTGGACACAACGGGCGGACATGCTGATGTAGATATATCCGCGTATGTACGAGCGTAGAACGTTCGTTACGCCAAGTCATCATACGAAGCTGTAGCCTGTCACGCTACAGTCCAACGCACTTTCAGAGCGCATCATTGGCGTTCTTGGGGCGTCTGTAATCCACACTGGAATCCCACACCGTGGGAAAACTCACGCCATGGAACAAAGGGCCGCGGCATGTCTACACAATCACGAACGCACTCGGCGAGCAGCGCCAATCACCGCACGCAAAACCACGCCTCCCGTCCAGCGCCAAGGCCCGAGCCGACCGTGCGGTCCGCGGCAGCGCGCCCTACCCGCTGTAGCTCATGACGGCCACCATGGCGTTCTGGCCGGCCGGCAGCTGCTCGAAGTTGATGAGCTCGATGGTCTTGGACTTGACCATCGGCTTCTGCGGGTACACCAGGTTGTACATCAGCGTGTCGATGCGGTTGCGCTGGTTCCACGCGATCGTGCCTGCCGGCGGGGAGGAAGCGCACGTGAGCCGCGGGGGCGGCTGACCGGGCCGGAAGATCAGCTGAGCCACACCTGCGACGCTCCCGCCAGTGGCCCGAGGTCGTCCGGGGCCTGCCCGGGCTGTCGACAGGGACCCGCTCCGCCAGAGGGCGCGCCGCGCCGCGTCACCTCCGTCCCCGGCCGGCCCGGCCCGGCCCGGCGTCGGCTCCACTCACCCATGGCCTGCTTGCCCATGGCGCACTGGTACGTGTTGCGCGGGCTCTGGTTGTGGTGCGGATAGGGGATGAGGCCGGCGCACACTCCCAGCAGCGTGAACGGCTCGACCTCGAGGTGCGTCGTCACCTGCCCACACGGGTCAGGGTCAACACGCGGCGGCGCGTGAAGGTGGCGCCATGCAGCGTGAGGGCGATCAACCACCACGGCTCACGACACGCGGTGACGCTGGTGGGCGACACAGGCGTGCGGCGGAACACTGTCGCCGCAATGGTAGCGATGTGAATGTTGGTGATCAACAGGGCATATGACACAGCCGGGTACCATCGTTGTCACGTGCGTGCGGAGGGGCCTGGTTCGTTGCGTCCCGACGATTCGAACGCGCAGCACGGCATCAGCTCATCGGTTAACAGCCAGCGACAGCGGCCAGAAGAAACACCTCGCTACCATTACGCTGCCGCCCAAATCAGACAGGCTTCGAGCAATGCGATGCCGAAAATGTCTGCATCTGTCTGCGAAAACTCGCCCACTTCGACTGCACGTATCAACCCGACCTAGCACGAACAAGACGGCTGCACAGCACACAGAGCAGACAACTTTTAGACGGCGCCAATGGTGCCTTGCTGCCGCTGTCGGTCCCCACCAGTCATCGGCACCTCCAGTGCTGAGCACGCGTCCCTGCCGGCCGATCTCACCGCCGTAATGTCCTTCTCGTAGAGGGCGATGTTGCTGTCGTTCTCCTCGTTCACGTCCAGGTACTCGACCAGGCCGTCGTGCAGGAAGTCCTGGAAGGTGCGCAGGCCGCGCGCCAGCTCCTCCATGTGGGCGGCCGTGACGCGCGGTCGGCTCCGCTCCACGATGATGTACGGCCTGCCGCGGCACGGGGCGCCTGGGTCAGCCGGGGCTGGGTGGGGCAACCGCACGGTCGGCGGTCAAGATCACCGGTGAGGCGCTTCTATGCGGCGGCAGCTGGACGGTGAGGTGTAAGCAGCGGTTGGTCCCGTTGGGTGTATAGCGTTTACACCATGGACCGTGAATCAAAACCGGACGCGAGCTGTTCGGTGATATGTCGATGGGCTACCACTCGGGCAATGCTCATGAGGCCATGTCGCATGTGGAGGACGGTAAATGCATCGTACCCCACCGCAGTTGTCCTGCATTTCGGTATCCGCCTACTCCGTAGTTACCTGTTAAAGGCACGAGCACACTTACCTTCCACCGTTCAATCGCACACAGCCACCAGACATGAAGCCTCCGACCCAGCACTGACCACGGCACCACTCCATCAACAGCGCCTCCCCTCCTGCGCACCACCCACCCTTGACCTGACGCGCGACCCTCACCTGCACAGCCGGCCGCCGTCTGAGCTGACGTAGACGCAGCGGTGCTTGTGGCTGGGGTAGATGGAGACGAAGCCGGAGAGGAGGCCGCTGCGCCGCAGCAGACGGAACGTCTGGATCAGCCGGCGGTAGTTGCGCGTCACACCCAGGATGTTGCCTGTCGGCGCAGCGCGGCGTCAGGCGGGCAGGCGCTGAGGAGTTCGCGCCGCCGTGCTGTCGTGCGTGCTGCGCCGTTTAGTGCTAGTGGTGCTGTCGTCAGCGGGTCCGGCGCCAGACCTGCACTGGACCTGCCCGGTGTCGTGTCGAGCCCAGGCAGGATGGGTGTGCAGGATGTTTGGTGAAGTGACCAGATTCCTGATCTGGACCCTCTGATGTTGCGCCATTTCCCGTCTTTACGCAAAATGGCCCGACGACGGCTGCACTTCATGCGAGTTTGCCGAATCTAGCGTCTTTGGTGAAAAGTCCACAACTGACGGGATGACGTTACAGGAATAGACATTTCAGGCTTGAGCATGGTCTGCCAACGACCAGAACAACTTGTGACACTGTCTTAGGGTCACACAAGGACACATCAGGCCACAGGTCCAAAGGAAAAATGCCACACATGTGATATACGTGAATGCGATGGGCGGACTAGCGTAATGAAGCCCAGACCAGTAAAAATTCACATGATTCTTCCACGAACAACGCGTTCATTTTCGCCGCCATTCCAGAGGATGCCATCAGCGCTGGTCCCCCGATCCGCCCGATGGCTTCAAAGTACCGTTGAGAAAGACGATGTAGACGGAGTTATGACTGAGCTCCTCGCCGCAGAGGAAGTTGATGTCCTCAACGCCGATGTTGAAGGCAGCGCGGATGATGGGCGTGTCGTCGGCCTCGGTCGTGATGTGCGTCATCAGCGCCAGGTTCTTCACCAGCCCGCACGACTCGCCCTCGGGCGTGTCCGACGGACAGAGCATGCCCCACTGAGACGGCTGCAGCGACCGCGGCCCGCTCACCTGACAAGAGGGGCAGGAAAGTCAGCCCGGTCACGCTGCGACAGCGCGACGGACGGGAGGCAATCAGACGCCAGTGCGCAAGCAGATGTCCGTGGTTAACAGCATCGTCCAGAAAACGAACTCCCCGCTGAGTCATGTTGCAGGGTGTGAAACCGGAACACGGAGCCTTAGAAGAGACGATGTCGCATACTCTGTGCGCCATGCAGCCGCGCTGGCACAATAACGCCGCAGATTTATCCCGGTATCTCTTTGTGAATAAACTGAATAGTCTTAGCACGCAGAACAAAGGTCCGTCCTCGAACCAGAACCCGTCTCCGTCCACGCCATGGAAGGCGCAGAGCCTGTACGGGGAGACTCCCCATCCGTGGGCGCACCTTCCGTGTCCGCTCGAACTGCGAGTTGACCCGAGTCATCATGCCGAGACAGGAGATGTAGGAGAGCCGCGAGAGCACCTGCGTCACGCCGTGGCGCTCCATCTTGAACCGCTTGATGATCCAGTTACCCTGCAGCAGAGCGGCAAGCTTGTGACGTGGATGGCGCTACGGTGGTATTTTTACAGCAAGCGAACGTTGCCGCCAGTCAGGCGGGTTGCCGACCGTAGCTGCTGAGGATGCCGCGAGCCTTTCGCGCGCCTGCCGAGCTTTGGAGGCCCACACACAAGGCCGTGTGTACAAATAATAAAGGGCACCCACCCGCCACCAAAGTGAACAACCCCTTCGCCTGGCAGTCCATGTCCCGGCCCAGCGTCCGCCGGGGCAGGACTGAAGGGCCGAGCAGAATGACAAAGGGCTCTGATCCGGCAGACCACGCGCGACGCCGGCGCCGTGTCCACGCGGGACACCAGCCCCGTGTCTGCGCAGGCACGGCGCACGGCGAGCAGGGCGCCACTCTGCGGCGCCACCGGGGCAGGTGGAGCGCCGCGCCGGCTCCTACCGAGGAGATGGCCTGTTCCAGACCGAAGCTGATCTGGTCCTGCCGCATGTGCTTCACGATGTCGAACTGGGCCGCTTTCACCTTCGGAATGTTCTTGTCGGCGATCATCTTCAGCTGAAAGGAACGTCAAACCAGTCAGAACGTGGTCCGATAATGCCCAATCAATATGACAAAATAGGCAAAAAGGGATACCAATTTCGACGTTCGCCACTTACGTTGAGAAAGGTACCGCTCTTGCTCCGCCCAAAAATTACCCGGCCGTTTCTAGATATGCTTACTACACTACGCATTCCGGTCTTCTCCCCCCCCCCCCCCCCCCCCGCACGATGCAGCATCGGGTGACACGGCCGCCCTCTACAGACCCTGTCCCCGCTGCCCCACTCACCTCCCAGTTGAACTTCTTGAACAGGTCCTCGAACAGCAAGCTGATGAGCGAGCCGGCCAGCTCCATGCGCTTGTTGCCGTAGTAGTCGCGGTCATCAATCACCTTCTCGTCGGCCTGGGCCTCGACCACGCGACGCACCATCAACGCCAGGTAGAACGCCTTCATCTTGAAGTTGTAGTTCTCCACCTGTCGCCAGCAGACAGTCGCCGGTCACGTGTGTTCTCACACGCACCTCACGCGACCGGAACATTCTCCGCGCGCGCTTCACGTGGCCGGGGCATTCTCCGCGCGCGCTCCACGTGGCCAGAGCATTCTCCGCACGCACTTCACGTGTCCGGAGTATCGCGAGTGACATCATGTTGGAACGTTGGACCGGTTTTGTCACGGCCCGCGGGCTGGGGCCGTCAGCACACGGGCTTTGACGACCCCACCTTGCACTGGCAAGCTGGGCTCTCAACGAACTCTCAAGACGACAATACACGGAAGCGTAAAACGGAACATGCTTTAGTGAGAACACCGCAATGGCATCAGCAACAAGCAGGACGTTCCCCGAGGTCACAGACGCACCAAGTCGTGGGTGACCGTTGCTAGCAATATAATGGGACGTGGGCGGCTTCCACCAACGTACCGGACGTGGACGGCTGCCACTGACAACGTGCAATGGGACGTGGGCGGCTGCCACTGACGTGTAATGGGACGTGGGCGGCTGTCACGGACCACGTGCCAGGACGTGGGCGGCTGCCAATGACAACGTACCGGGACGTGGGCCAGTATAGTGGTGGCCAGCAGGTGGCGCACCTCGTCGGCCGGACTCTTCTTCTGTCCGAAGCCTCCCATGTACACCTTCTGCACCAGCTTACTGCCCATGTACCTAGCACATGGCGGGGGTGGAGTCAGCGGCTGGGGGTTAGCGGTCGGTAAGGTACAGAGTCGAGGCGCCCCACACCGCCAGCGTTGCACGAACTCAAAGTAATAATAAAACGCGACGCAGTGTGCCATCCTTCCCACGGGGCAACGAATCATCAGTTACACCCCAAGTGCTTCGATTTTTGTTTCGCAATGAAGCGCATCTCACGTCCAAAGCCCCCTCCCCCCTCCGGCATCCTCCCCTCTCGTTGCAGCGCCTCACTTGAGAGCCTGCAGCTGCGTGAAGACCTGCGCCCGGTGGCACTCCTCCATGGTGGAGGCCAGCGAGGTCATGATGTTGCTCTCTGTGCCCACCATCTGCACGATCTCCTGGTCCGACTCAATGCCCATCGCCTTAAAGACGATCGACACTGGGATCACCTGCGCGGGACGAGGACTGGTCAGATCGACACCGGGATCACTTGCGTGGGACGAATACCGGTCAGATCGACACCGGGATCACTTGCGCGGGATGAGGACCGGTCAGATCGACACCGGGATCACTTGCGCGGGATGAGGACCGGTCAGATCGACACTGGGATCACCTGCGCGGGACGAGGACTGGTCAGATCGACACTGGGATCACTTGCGTGGGACAAATACCGGTCAGATCGACACCGGGATCACTTGCGCGGGATGAGGACCGGTCAGATCGACACTGGGATCACCTGCGCGGGACGAGGACTGGTCAGATCGACACTGGGATCACTTGCGTGGGACAAATACCGGTCAGATCGACACCGGGATCACTTGCGCGGGATGAGGACCGGTCAGATCGACACCGGGGTCACCTGCGCGGGACGAGGACTGGTCAGATCGACACTGGAATCACCTGTGCGGGACGAGAACCGGTCAGTGCCGCGTAGCATCCACAAACCACACTGTTTTCTGCGCTCGTTGAAAGTCACATCAATACAGCGTAACGGCAAAGGTTAGCTCGGCAGTACGGACTACGACCACATTCCTAATATTCTACACGAGACACGCATTCCTAACATTCCGCACGGGATACAAGCCACGCATGACTCGAGCATCCCGCGCTGAAAATATCATGTTTCAAAAATATGTCCGTGGCATCCCAAGAGGAAAACGTAATTTACGGCACGCATGGCGCGATAGCGCCATGCCAATATAGCGTCAAACATCCGAGCACTCGCAGGTCGCTTAAATAAGAGCGGCCTCGAGCCGTCAGAGCACGCCGGCGCCCCGGTCCGCTGCGGCACGCGAGCACGTCAGCAGACGCCGCCTGACGGGCCTCTGGCGCCGCTCCCGCGCCCGGAGCAGGGTATGACGGCACACTGACAGATCGCGGCTTCCGGCCGACAGCCAATCACAGGCCATCGGTTGGCCTGGTACACCTAACGCTGGCAGCAGTGAGTGCACTGACAGCCAGACCAAGGTACAGCAATCACTGTTATTCGCCGAAAGATGGAATGCTGTATTATATAGAATATAGAACGATGATGGGAATGTACCATGACGTTAACAGCATAAAATGAAAACTTATTTATGCAGTTGGACTGAGCACGGCATCACGCTTCTGCCAACTAAACCCTGCAAAGACTATTCCAATATCTGAGAAAAATTGTGCTCGGCCCTGGCACTGTGAATTGCTGGTAAATTACCGGACTATGCTCATTCCTGCATTATATAACAATACGTCCTGACTTTGTCCCAAACAACATTGCTCACAGACTAAAAACGGCTCCAATCCCTCGGAAAACGGCAAACCGACAAGCCACTGACGGGAGTGACTGGTCAGACCGGTCTGATCCGGTCAGACCGGTCAGACTGGTCACTGGTCTGACTGACGGGAGTGACCAACAAGCCACTGACGGGGGGGGGGGGGGGGGTGCAATCAACCCCCGAGATGAGTGTACTGCACTGTGACTGACATCTTTGAAGGTGTTGTGCTTCAGGTAGTATTTGCCGCGCTTGAAGATGAGGTTGGTGCGCGACTTCTTCTCGTGGGTGCTGCTGGTGACCTGGCATTGCACGTTGCCCTTGCTGTCCTGCTCCACGATCATGCGGTTCTTGCTGAGCTGCTCCTGGATCAGCACCACCTAGCGGACGGCACGTGAACCAACGGTCTGGTTAGCCCAGCAGCTCCACCACAAGACGGGCGGAGTGGCCGCCGCACATGGGTGGCTTAGACGGTTGCGGTCAACACAATGCAATAGATGGGAACATGCTTAAATTGTCACTACCTCCTCAAAAGAGCACCAGCAGATTAGAAATATGTCTACAGAATGTCAGTACAGTACATCTCAAATGCAATTGCCTACGGGTTCCCTTCGTGAATGCTAGCGACAGTCAGCCTGCTTCACCCACAAAGACCGGCAGGCTTCCTTCAACACACACACATCTCACGCTTCTCGGGTCGCGCGGGCGAGGGGTCAGCCCGTGCCCGTGCCACTGCCGCTGCTTGACCTTCTCGGCTCGCGCGGCCGGAGCGGTCAACCCATACCGCCCCTTGACATCGGCTCTCACGGGCGAGAAGGTCAGCCCGTGCAGCCACCTGACCTCGGCTCGCGCGGTCGAGCGGCCAGCCCATGCCGCCCCTTGACCTCGGCTCTTACGGGCGAGAAGGTCAGCCCTGTCGCCACCTGACCTCCGTTCGCACGGGCGAGAAGGCATCCCGTGCAGCCACCTGACCTCGGCTCGCGCGGTCGAGCGGCCAGCCCATGCCGCCCTTGACCTCGGCTCACGTGGGCGAGAAGGCAGCTCACTGCTGCCGCCTAACCTTCTCGGTTCCGCGGACGACGAAGTAGCCGCCGGGGTCGTGCGGACACTCGTCCAGCTTGGCCAGCTCGGCGTGCGTCTTGCCCGTCAGCACGCAGTTGGAGCTGCGCAGCATGATGGGCATGCGGCCGATCGGCAGGCCGTTCCTGAGCACAAACGCAACATGGTGGGGCGGCTGCGGTGCGACGTTCGGCCGTGAAATGTCGGGACATATCCGGCCACGCCACTAAACACAATGTGGAAGACCGAAAATTTGTGGAAAGCCGCCAAATTGAATGGAACGCGAATTATGACCTGGTGCAGGTAAATCTGATGACTGATGGGGGGGGGGGGGGGGAATGGGCTGCGCCACAGCCTTGCACTAATCCCAGCGTCCTCCTGCGATATTGCGAAAGTTTAGCAACATGACTTACCTCACTACACATTTGCAAAATAGCAAAACAGCAATGGCTTGCAAAGAATGGATGGAGAATAGCTGGAGAGAAAGGGAAAGTGCAAAACTCCTACCAGAAGCGAGCTCACGTGAGCCTATCCTCCAGGGCCAGGACAGGTGACCCACCTGACGACGCGCTGGTTGCCGCGCGTGTACTCGATGTCGACGGTGACGGTGGCCGAGTAAGTGATGTCGCGCAGCCGGCACTCGTGCGGCGAAGTCGGCCGGTTCATGTTGAAGCCCTCCTCCACATCAGGGATACCCACATGCACATTCAAGTACCTGGTGATGGTGGCAGTGAAGCAGTGGTCACTCAAGATGATCTGATAGTCAGGCTCATGACCACATCACAGCATTGTATTTTCTGGCACTCAAAAGCATTGGGAATAGAGTCCAATTCTGCTGGATAATAAGATGCAGAAACTACTCCCCATGTCATACCAGCAGCAGAATATAGTAACTGAGTAGCCAAGTACCACAAATATGGCTCTATTTGCCACCAAATCTTGGTCAAAATGAAGCTTGAAGTACAAAAAAGTATTCCATATTTCACACCAGATGATCAAAACACCTATTCTAAGCATGAATTTATCTATAGATGGCAAACATTCAGTTGCAGTGTTGGGTTAGTTAACTTATACTCACTTCACATAGAAACTAGGGTCTGCATCACTGACAACCTTGTCATTTGCATTGACAATATTCTTGATATCAGTGTTTATGAAGTAATTGAATGAGTCAATGTGCTGCTTCACCAGCCCTTTTGTCTGCAGGAAAGCAGGCAGCAGCTTCCATTTGTCCTGAAAAAGGTGATGCACATATCTGCCTGATGTTCAATGGCATATGGCCCTGCCTACCAATCAGTACCAGGCATATCTGTAATTCAAATACAAAAAGATATCCTTTGAGCATTTTTGAGACAAATGCTAACCTATGGTGTACTAGGTTAAACTTGGCTAAGATCTCAGGAACACTGCTCAGTGAGCAGAGATGCTCTACTCAAACTCACATGCTCTCATTGCATATTGTGCATGGAATGGCCCCAAAAGAGCCTGTGTGTCTGGTTCTGCCAAAACTAGTAAAAAATTTTGGGATGCTAAGCAGTCACATGCTGAGCTGGAAAATGCACATATTGCAAATGACATTGCAAGTCATCATACTTCCAAACTTTTGCCTACAGATTTATATTTCAATTATAACATCAACAAACACAAAATGGAATAACACAATTCATTAAAAAGTATTTGAGTTGCACTTATAATGAGCACATATTGGCAAATGACAAAGGTTACTATGAGAAGAAGAAACAAGAAACAAGAACCGGTACAAGAAGAACGCAGGGACTATAAAGCTGGCACAAGTGCAATACTCAGGTCAGACAAGGCCAGGGTAAAAGTGGAGGCGTAAGTGCATGAACAGCAAAATGAGTGTCAGTACGCACATGAGTAGCAGAATTATTGTTAATAACAATGCTACTTAATACTGGAGACAAACAATAGTGCTAATATATGACATATAGATAAGTGTCTACTCACCTCAACAGCTTTGATAGGCTCAGCCAATCTGCTCATTTGACCATGGCTCCCACTCCAAATACTTTCCCCCATTCTTCGCCTGGGCTTTAGGAATTGCTTCACAGAATAAATATATCAATATCAAGACATCAACACATCACACGTGGCTGATAATTTTGGCATAAACGGTGCATACATATCAAAACAAAACCGGCATAACATCCCAGAGATTTCTCCCTGTGCAGACTTTTGTAGCAACTGCGCCGTGAATGTATCAATATTTTAAAGAGTATCTTCATAATAAGCACGGAGGACTTTGATTTGTTAATTATAATGGTGAATGTCAAAAAATATAACAAGCCGGTCTTTATCCAATGTTATTCAAGAGTAGATAACAGCTGGCTTAGTGAAGAAATATATCAAATATAATTATGGCGGCGCTGTCGGCACCAACCGGTGTAAACTTCCTTTTGATCGTGAACATGTCTGAGAAAAAGCGGGTGAGGGTTGAAGCATGTGTGATCCATTTTCCCTTGGGTTTTTCAAGGCATAGCTGGTTAAATCGAAGTGCTGCGGTGAAATGTCGAGTTTGTGTCAGCGGGGTGTGCGTTTACTGTCCAAATGACGCTATATTTGGTGTTTAGTATTATGCGGCGATACCGACGTGCATGGTTATAACATGAGTATTGAAGTTAGGAGCGTTTGTGGTCACTATGTCAACAGCTGTAGGCGGGTGCATTTCAGTCGCGTTATGTTGGCTGTATGTAGTGACTCATAACCTTGCTGGGATGCAGTAGTCCCAGATCAGCATGTTGCTGGTGTCAGTCTTTGAAGCTTTGCATGTTTTTTTGCATAATTTTTGGAGCTGTAGCCCAGGGGCCTGAGAGCCCACATGCTACTACTCTTATGTGTTTTTATTATCAGAATGATGGTTAAAAGCCTGTGATTATTTTGGACATGGGGTTATTTTGCACCACAGTGATTTTCCAGTTGTTGGCATGTGACCTGCATCAGCAAAATTCCTTGCACCATAATGATCATGAGTGGTGGGTGCAGAGATATGCATCACAGTCCAAGGTTGCCACTGAAGAAGAACCTTACAAGCAAGATTGGTGGTAACATTTATATACATGTTTTTTGAGCCATACAGTTTTGTGTGGGCATATTATGCCTTATTTTTCTGAAGTATTGCATGGTAGCTATGTTGGATTAATATTAGCAACATGCTGTACATCCCTTAGGTGAGTTCTGGCATAGCCATGTGTGCAGAACTAAAAAAGGGACAATAAAGAACATAACTGTCCTAATAAGGCTGACAACTTCCTGGGATTAGACTGAGCTCAGCCCAGCCTAACTTTGTCATGAACCTTGGCATTTGTTCCATGCTCATTTGACATAATGTACCAGCCATCAGCTGTGCATTGAGCGAAGCTAAGCCCTTATGCTAGCAGGATAGTCATTAGGTTTGGTTCAATCCTTCAAAATAATTTCAGCAAGTATTATCCAAGGGTATTTATATTAATGGCAGAAATTTATTCTGTCTGCCTTAAGTATCTTGGTAACATTTTCAATAGTTTGCAGGCTGGACTGATATGCTCATGTTGTGATATCTTATATTTTTTACTAGAACTAAATGGTGGGACAGCCCAGGTCCCATGAGTCCATGTCAGGGATATATGCAAGAGGGTCTCATTGATTCCAAGCAAACATATAGGTCTTTCCTTTCCAAGGGTGAATGTGAGATTTGTGTTGAGTTTTGAATTGAAAAATTCATCTTAAAAATATTCTGGCAAAGTTGGCTGCTCTGCCCTTCTTAAGACTGACCCCCCCCCTCCCCCCCCCTCTCAGTTCTTGAGTGGTACACTCATGAAGATGTGCAGACTGTTTCAAGGTCACTGAGGGATGCAATGAGGCTGCAGTAGTATCATTCAAACCCTGCCATTCTATTGGCCATGCTGCAATTTTTGCCAATGAAAATATAGTTGTTGACTCATTGATATCTGGCACTCATGAATGCCATTTCTGGATAATACAGCTATCAGCTGGCCCTCAATCAGTGTTGCACATGATGTATTGGCACCACTGAAGAATGTTGTGTGGAACATATTTGCTAAATACAGAAGTTGTGTTGCCAAGGGCAGTATTTTCCACTAGAGTGAGTTGATTTCATCCAAGTTGATGCTTGCTTCGATATTTTCTAAAGTGTAGCATTTTCTTAAAGGTCTGATACTGACACTGGTCAGAGTGTATGAAGTACCACATGTCAAATACCCCCTTACTGGCCCAGAGGAGGGCACCTACACCAGATTGGGAAGAGATAGGCTGGCTCATTGGTGTTGTAATGTCTCAATATTGGCAAATTGGTCATTATTTGATTTCAGTGCAGACATGAAACATTCACTCACAAAACAATGTCGGAACAGATTGTTTAAATTTTTATGTTGCTTCTGATTATTTTCATTGTTTTGTTGGTGGTGGGGTTAAGTGCCATCATGTGGCCAGAACATTGTCAATAAGTGAATTGTTGCAGACCCAGTGTGGATGACCCTTGTAAGGCAAAGAGAGGGGTTGTGTATGTCCCAGATTATGCTGATGTGCAGAACTGGAGTGATAATTTTGGCTGAATTCAGCAAAGTTTTACCAGCACTAGTGTCAGTTTTCCATGGATTGGATGCAATTCAGCATTTTTTAGTGCTGGCAAGGTTCCAAGAATGCCAGCTGAGGCTTTGGTATTTGAGATACCCCTTACCTTTGTGACATTGAATAAAAGTTTGTTCTGCATCGTACCCCCGCAGCAGTTTTAGCCCGCTGTCATGGACAAATTTGCATGAGGATATGGTTGTTAAACTCCTTTCACAAGCAAGGTAACTTATACTATTTAAAAAAATTGATAATTGGCATTCCCTATTTTTGGCACACCATATGTAGATGTTGGGCCTACCTCATGCCACTGGAAACACCTGAGTTGCATAGGTGACATGCACTTGGCAGGGCCCCCTGGGTGCAGGGTGTTGGGGGGGGGGGGTGTTTAACTGCCTGTTGTGGATATCTAATGCTGAGTACTACTCTGAGGTAAAATTTCTCAGGCATCTGCTGTAGGAGAAAATACAGTGTCCATAGCAGTGCTGTGAAATGTCATTGTGCCATGTAGGTGAAGCTGAGTCATCAGTCCAAATGTTACTTTTCTATTACATTATAGCATATCAGGAAGCATCCAATGATTATTCAGCAACAAACAAGGTACTCATAGTGCATTGGTAATGCCACGTATCTGGGTAGTTAGAGATACAAGTTTCTTTGATTTCTTGTGGTGCCCACTTTCACCAGGGTGGGGAACATGCAATGCTATATAGCTTCAGCACCTGAGTGCATTGTAAAGCTAATTACAATGGCCACTGTAGCAACAACTACATTCTCCAAAACCTGATATAATTTTCAGCAACAAAGGTCAGATCCCCATAGGCAATGTAGTAGCATTGACCCAATTTGTGGTGTAAGAGTATAAAGGAGTTATTCTTGCAAATCCTAAATGTGGTCAAGTGACCCAACAAGTTTGAAACTATATTTATGTCATGCAACATAGGTCCAGTGTCAGCAGGGAGGCTGAAGGTGCCAGTCTGTGCCATACTGAAAAGCTGCACTGATGTCGGCTGCGCTGTGACCCGGGCTCGGCCGGCGGCCACCGCCGATGGCTGTCACGTGACCGCCTCGGACGTCCTCTGCTGCGCTCTGACCCGGGCTCGGCCCGCGGCCACCGCCGATGGCTGTCACGTGACCGCCTCGGACGTCCTCTGCTGCGCTCTGACCCGGGCTCGGCCGGCGGCCACAGCCGATGGCTGTCACGTGACCGCCTCGGACGTCCTCTGCTGCGCTCTGACCCGGGCTCGGCCCGCGGCCACCGCCGATGGCTGTCACGTGACCGCCTCGGACGTCCTCTGCTGCGCTGTGACCCGGGCTCGGCCGGCGGCCACAGCCGATGGCCGTCACGTGACCGCCTCGGACGTCCTCTGCTGCGCCCTGACCCGGGCTCGGCCGGCGGCCACAGCCGATGGCCGTCACGTGACCGCCTCGGACGTCCTCTGCTGCGCCCTGACCCGGGCTCGGCCCGCGGCCACCGCCGATGGCCGTCACGTGACCGCCTCGGACGTCCTCTGCTGCGCTGTGACCCGGGCTCGGCCGGCGGCCACAGCCGATGGCCGTCACGTGACCGCCTCGGACGTCCTCTGCTGCGCTCTGACCCGGGCTCGGCCCGCGGCCACCGCCGATGGCCGTCACGTGACCGCCTCGGACGTCCTCTGCTGCGCCCTGACCCGGGCTCGGCCGGCGGCCACAGCCGATGGCCGTCACGTGACCACCTCGGACGTCCTCTGCTGCGCTGTGACCCGGGCTCGGCCGGCGGCCACCGCCGATGGCCGTCACGTGACCGCCTCGGACGTCCTCTGCTGCGCTGTGACCCGGGCTCGGCCGGCGGCCACAGCCGATGGCCGTCACGTGACCGCCTCGGACGTCCTCTGCTGCGCCCTGACCCGGGCTCGGCCGGCGGCCACAGCCGATGGCCGTCACGTGACCGCCTCGGACGTCCTCTGCTGCGCTCTGACCCGGGCTCGGCCCGCGGCCACAGCTGATGGTCATCATATGGCCGCATTCGACGCACGGCTGGCCGCCCGACGCGGCTTCAGCGCCAATGTCTCAGCTGTGTTTCATTGATTAATGTTCTCATTGCAGGCTATCGTGGTCGATGGCAGCGGCCACCTCCTTGGCCGCCTGGCCGCGGTGGTGGCCAAGGCCCTCCTGTCGGGAGACAAGGTGGTGGTGCTGAGGTGTGAAGGCATCAACATCTCGGGCTCCTTCTTTAGGTATGTTCTTTTACTAAGATCATCGCCATAGTTGGTCAGACAAAGCTGCTATTTTGTGCAATGTGGTATCTCCATTTTTCAGAGGACCTTGTATGTCAGTTTGTCTCACGTGCATCTGCTGCGCTAGTTGATAATGTGGTAAGTATTGTATGATCACTGCACCCTTGTTCAGCTTCCAATGGTTTGATTGTCTTGTGAAACACTGTCCAATGTCTTTCAGGAACAAGCTCAAGTACATGGCGTACCTGCGAAAGCGGTGCAACGTGAACCCGGCTCGCGGCCCGTTCCACTTCCGCGCGCCCGGCATGATGCTGAGGCGTGTTATCCGGGGTGAGCTGCTGTCACGGCACTGTCGGTAGACGTGGGTAATGAT